TCTTATAGTCTTTCCTAAAATGTTAGCGATATTTCTGTAGGTACGTTCTGCAGCATGGGTCTTGAACCGACTACAAGGAATTTAGTTTTTTCTGGATTGATCAGTAATTGGTGCTCCAAACACCACTTGGCTGCTATTTGTAGATCTGCCTCTAAATTGATAGTTGTCTGTTCCAAGTCGTAGATGCAGAATGATTTGTAAAGCTTTGAGTCGTCTACGTATGAATCAAGGTTACACGTAAAACAGAAGTGGTGATAGTATTGCACCTTGTGGAACGCCATGGGTTATCGGGCGAGCTGATGACTTGGTGGATCCAATGCGCACGTATTGGGATCTGCCTGTTAAATAGTCTTGGAACCATTTAACAGCTTCGGGTGAAGCACCGATACAACTCAATTTGTGTAATAAAATCGAATGACTGACACTGTCAAATGCCTTGGATAAATCCAATAAAATTAGTGCCGTTAGATTTTTGTTGTCTATGGCTTCCAACATCGTATCGGTAACAAATATGTTTAAGGTTTCGGTGGAGTGAAGACTCCTATTCCCGCTTTGATGTGACGATATGCGATTAAATTCTTTGAGGTAGGAGCTAAATTGATTTAGAACAACTTTTTCACAAACTTTTGAAACTACCTCGAGTAGTGAGAGAGGCCGATTGTTTGAGGCTATCTCGTGGTCTCCTTCTTTTAGTAGGGGTATAACTTCAGAAATCTTCCATAGGTCAGGGAATGTGCTTGTCATTAGAGAGCAATTTATCATATGCGTAAGAGGACCCAGTATGATTGGAAGACAGTCTTTGATGACACGCATGCCTATTTTATCTGGTCCTGGTGACTTATTACTTGGCATAGCCATGATAATGCGTTGAACCTCTGTACAAGTAACGGATTGGAAATTGAACAGTTGATCAGATGGATAAGTGATTACATTTGACAGAGGATTTGACAGTGCAACATTGTTGTCTTTGGCTAAACTTTCGGCTGTCGCAGCAGCGTTCCGTCCCACAGAAGTAAAAAAAAGGTTGAATTCTTTTGCAACTGTTTTTGGATCTTTACTATAAACTTGTGTTTCCTTTTCCTTCGAGGGAATTATATTATTAATTATTTTCCATAGGGATCTCGAATTGTGTTTATGTTCTCTTACTTCGTTGAAGGTGTGGTCCTTCGCTGCGGCTTTAATTTTGGTTTTTACGTTATTACAATATTCTTTGTAAACTACCCAATCACCTTCATCACGTGTCAGTTGAAACCGACGGAGGTGTAGGTCCCGAGACTTCATGAGTTCTTTTATTTCATTGTTGACATATGGACATGATCGATTTCGAATTTTGAAGGTTTTTAACGGTGCATGCACGTCGAGAGTTGAGTGAAGAACATCTTTGAAGGTTTCGAGTATTGTATTAACGTTGGTGTTGGATAATATGGATAACAGACGATCCGATTTAGTGACAAGGTCAGAGGAAAATAGTGAGGGATTATAGTTTTTATAACTCCTAGTTGTAGGGGATTTGAACAGTTTGGACATAAAACACCTTGAGGAACTATCAGGATGGGATGCAATGGTCGACTTTTCAACAAGGGGTAACGCATGTTTGGATAACTGCCTTACAAATATAATAGATTTGTTCTCAAAATGTTATCCTTTCCACATGTTAACTAAAACAGACCACATGGGGGTTATTTTACCAGCAGGAACGAAACTAAAACCTATGCGCCGAAAGGTTGAATTTCGGGATGGTAGAAAGCATCGAAAGGAAGATTTCCACAAAGCTTTAGCAGAAGAAGATTGGGAGGATTATCGCAGTCCACGAATATAAATGACGCTGTGAATTGTCTTGAACGTAAGATCATGGATCATATGAATAAATGTATGCCCACAAAAACAGTCTCAATTTCGTCACGTGACCCTTACTGGATGAGTCCTTTAATTAAATCTTTGCTAAAATCTAAATCCAGAATTGCTCGGTCGCAAAAGGATAGACTCAGTTTAATTAACAAAAGTATTTCTGATGTCATTTGTCAAAACAGAAGAAATTTTAGGGCCTTGGTGGGGAGTAGAACTTGGTGGAGAAAGACGAATGATATTTCTCAGCGAAATGCATCGTCATCAAGAGTTACTTTAGATAATGCATCACTTACAAGATTAAATCGCTACTTTGGCGAACTCTGCCACGATGATAGTTATGTCGAACCGACGCTCTCAATTATTGGTGATGAAGTAGATATTCCTAGCTTTACGGAACAGCAGGTATGGAATGCCTTGAAAAGAATAAAGAGGACAGCAACAGGTCCCGATTATATTCCCTATTGGGTTTGGAATCATCATGCGGAAATTCTAACCGAAGTTATAACTAACGTCTGGAATTTGTCCCTTTCATCACATACTTGGCCAGATTCATGGAAAAGAGCAAATATTTACCCTCTTGCAAAGGTTGATTTACCAAAGGAAGATGGTGACTTTCGTGGAATAAATATTACACCTGTAATTGCGAGGACCTTCGAAAAGCTCGTTTATAATAGTCAGGTCAAGTCGACAGTTGAGGAAATTTTATCCCCAACGCAATTTTCGTACAGGTAGGGGGGGAGTTGTACAAACGCTCTGTTAACTATTCAGAACAAAGTACTCAGCTTCTTAGATAGAGCGAACTGCAAAGCAGTTAGACTGTTTTCTATGGATTTTAGCAAGGCTTTCGACTCAGTGAAACATTCACTCCTCTCGGAAAAGTTAAAAACTGTGCCACTCAACCCTTATATCATAAAGTGGTATTTAAATTTTCTAAAGAATAGAAAGCAAAGAGTCGTTTGTAACGATTTTTGTGGAGAATGGATGGATGTTAATAAGGGTACAACACAGGGGAGCGTAAGTGGCCCCTACCTTTTTAATATTTTCCTAAATGATTTAGAGGTGGACATAGACGGCGAGAACGCTCTTTTTAAATATTCGGACGATTCAAATATAATAGTGCCAGTTTGGAGTGAGGGTCCTGATACATCAACAGATACAGTTGGACAATTCCTGAGCTGGTCTGATGATAATTTTATGACTTGTAACCCTGGTAAATGTAAAGAGCTTATCATCCGGAAGAATGGATATAATGATCAACTTGACAATGTTTATAATATACCCCAATGTAAAGAACTTCCCATTTTAGGTACTACTTTTCAAGACAATCTCAAGTTCACCAGTCATGTGCGAGGTAAATTGGTCAAAGCAAACAAATGCTTGTACGTTATACGAACACTCAGGGCAGAAGGCTATAGCCAATGTGAGATGGATTATCTATTTAAGACCCTAGTAATATCTACTATAACGTTTGGCCTGTCCGTCTACGGTTCTTCTCCAGCGGAACTCAATACTCTACAACGGTTTTTTGACAGATGTTTTAAGCGAAAGTATATATCAGAACCTGTAAATATTAGATATCTTTTAGAAATACAAGACAGAAATATTTTTAAGGCTTCTGTAAATCAGAAGAGTTCCATAGTCGACTTGATACCAAGAAAAAAATCCACAAGCTACTCTTTGAGGACAGAGTTTAGTCAGTATCCAAGAGTGAACACGGAACGTTTTAAATTGTCGTTTGCAAATAGATTAATTTTTAACTATAACCTATTCATATGATGTAAACTTTACTAATGTATTCTTAATATGTACTTGTAACATAAGATATGTATTTTTATCTTTTGATTTATTAAAAAGACTTTTGAATTGAATTGAATTGAATATCTGTCTTTACCCTAGTATCATGTACATGTTTTATTTAATCTAGCTGAAATCAATGAGGTAGCCCAAAGTATACAAGCCTATGGTATTTATAATTTTTTTAATTTGCAGTAAATCAAATCAAATCAAATTACTATTATTATTATACTGTACAGCTAAGTAAACACGGGGAAGTGCAGCACTTAATCCGCATAAAGGCAGATATTGTTTTATTATATCTTTAGTCCAGCGACGATAAAACGAAATCACATACATTATCGGTCACACTATACAGACTATTTCATATAAAATGAACATCTTAATTGTGTTGGCTCGGGTTGGCTTCGTACACTGTTGGCCAAAGACAAATAATTACTCGCTGGGGCACCTGTGCCCTGGCGAGTATATATAGATTTCGGCATTCATTTTTAGTGGATCGGCAATCTCCAATCGTTGTGGATATTAATAGAATATTATATGAGCCGTCTAATAAAACACAATTTATCCTTTTCAAAATGGCCACCTTTTCGTGGAGTGGGAAAAATGTTTCAAACAATTATTACGTTAAAATTTTCAACGAATTGTACTTGTTTTCTATGGATTTTGCATTTTGTCTAACTCTGAACATTCTTGAAAGTGTAGTTGATGCATTTTTCTTGGTGCACGACTCTGAAACTCCGAAATTTGGATCATTGAATTTCCATGCACGATCATAATATACTGAATAGATAATTTCAAGGTGAAAGGTTATAACTTAAACTACACAACATAGTTTTAATAAATAACTACTTTGTGAGAAGCATATTGGTGGCATATCAATATAAAATTATCCAACAACAGTCCCAAATAGTTAGCTGTGGAAACGTGAAAACTGTAGTGTGAAACATGATATTGTATTTGTAATGCCTAATAGCGCAATAAAAATACCATCCTTCGATTCAGCGTAAGAAATTGTCAAATGTATTACTATAAACAACAGTATAATAGCGATTTATCGCCTTTGTCTTTGAAAGCCAAGGGATATTGTATTGTTGACAGATCGCTCAAAATTATAATTAAACTAATTATAAAAAATGCAGTACGTTTGATCCTTGATAACTTAGTGGTATCGTTGTTATTTTTCTTTTTCGGCCGTATACTGGTGGATTCGTCTCACTTCTCTCTTCATTTTGACAGTATTTTGAGCGCAAAAGCTCCAAAATATTTTATTTTGAACGTTTTAAAGCGCAGTTTAATCCTAGCGTACGGACCAACTGGCGGCCGACAGAAGAATGGTAGCGTATTAAACATAACATTACTTGTAGGCGGAAACGCCGGAAGTTTCATTTGCAGGGCACCGCATTTTAGTACTGTGTCTGATTCTATAAAATCCTGAACTATGGTCATTATACTAACAAAAATTTCAAAACTAGCCTGAGCCACCTACCTACCTCTACCTTGGTATTCATATCTAAACCAGTGTCATTTAGCACCAAGTGTATCATAAAGCCAGTGTTTTGCAAAGCTTTCTAGTCTTTGGGTAAAAAAAATCTACAACATGGGGATTGTTAGTAACATTTTGTCGTTTTACCGTACTGGTGGAATTACTAATATCACTATCTGCATCATGCTTTAAATAAAGCATGCAATTCAGGCCAATGCATATCTGCAGAGGAAAATGTGAAAAATAATGTTAGTGTTCCAACATTAGATATAATAGCTTTAAGCTCTTCTCTTACTTTATTCCAATAAGCCTTAGTACCTGCAATATTGCCGACATATCTAGACACTTCAGACATAAACACATTTGCATTGTTACTGGTAGCCATTTCACGCAGCTCATGGATGGTGAGATGTGCTTCACCTGGGTTTTGTTTTAAAAATATTCCACTTTGCTGTAAGATTGTTTTTCTTTGAATCATGTTAAAAGCCCAATATGAAAATCGGGGATGGTTAGCAAAACGATGTACCCATTTACCATCAATAATTTCAGCAAATTTTAATAGATGCTTTATTCGTTCCTGAAGAGGAACATCTCTCAGAAGTCTTTGATTAGTAGGATCACCTTTGCAATCAGGAAATAAAGTTGGAAAAGCCATTGTGGCCAAATGTGAAACCTGATACTCATACAATGGTTCAGTTCCAACTGAAGGCCACTCAATTGGCTTATTTTCACAAAGCTGATTTGTCACAGCTTCAATTTCTTTTTGCTGTTGTTCATGTAAAAAAACTACTCATTTCAGTACAGTCATTGTAAACAAAATCCTCTGACGGGTTATAAGTAGGAGACCCTAAATCAGGAGAACCATTGTCATCAGAGACTATATATCATCACTCACCAGTCATAAGATCTGGTGGTACCACCATTCTCAGGTAAAGAGTTTAATGCATCTTCATTTATTAATAACTCAGAATAATGTGGGTTATTATTAATCAGCCAAACTAAAGCATGGTGCATTTTTTGTTTTCGCACCCTGACAGCTTTGAAGGTATTCTCTTTACCTTTTACCTTGACATTAATCACTGTCAAGTCTTCAGGATATCTTGGCAAAGATGCTTCAAGCTCTGTGACATTTTGTGGCAAGTTAATACAATGCCTTGAATAACCTCGTTGACCACCAGGCTTAATATATACTCTCATGACAGGAAGAGCACGAGCAATTAACATTTCCTCAACCTGAATTAAATCTTTTAGTTCATTTGGAACACATGAAGGTATCATTGAGTTTTCACATGAAAATTTTTTGGGAAACTTTCTCAAGTATAGTGAGCACACATAAGGTGACTTAGGTTTAGACTTCAACGGCCATGCCTCCTTACATTCTGTACACTGATAGATAGTGTATTGTACAGACGTATGAAATTTATTAATGCTAGCTTTTGCCGAACATTGTTCTTCAATACCACCATTTTTTTGTCAAATATTTTTGAGTAATCTTCCTGGTTTAGATTTTCTCTTGCTTGCTCATCAGCACAAGATACCTTTGCTCGCTTTAATATTTTATAGTTTTCTTCATTTTCAAGTCTCTTTTTTTTACTCTCATTTTCTTCACTTCCTCGTTTTCTTTTTTTACACATTCTGGCATTTTCGGGTTCTAGTCTGCTTTTCTGTTTCAGTTTCTACTGATTGCTTTCTTTTCTTATATTCCCTGGCTATTTGTAGCCTAGTTTGCTTCATAGACTGAGTTTTCTAGACTGTTTTTTGCAGCTAACATAAAATTGCACTGGAACAATTTCAAACAAATTCGTATTTTGTTCAGTAAACAACAAACATAAATATTTCTCTAATTCAGTGAGACTTGCAAATTTTATGACAACAGCAGTGCCATTAGGGTCAGGGATGCCAGCATAATTTCTAGCATGAGGGTCAAAAAGATAGAAAAACGAATCTACACTATTTATCAAGGCCATCATATAGCCTTCTAATATTAAAAGAGCATACTTGTCATGCATAAACGTTTTTCATAAAGCTGAAGTAAGTGTAAAATAGTAATGTTCTAGTCCTTGCTCATTTCTCACAAGCCCTTGATGATCTTTCCCATAGTTTATAAACCAAAGTTGATTGAATCAACAATATTTTTTGCCTTGATTGGCGCCACCACAATGGGCGGGTCAATAACGTTTTGTGCCTCGATGGGTTCCACCACAATGGGCGAATCAACTAACATTTTGTGCCTCGATAGGCTTCACCACAATGGGAGGATCAATAAAATTTTATGCCTCGATGGGCTCCACTACGATGGGCGGATCACTAACATTTTGTGCTTCGATGGGCTCCACCACGATGGGCGGATCACTAACATTTTGTGCCTCGATGGGCTCCACCACAATGGGCGGATCACTAACATTTTGTACCTCGATGGGCTCCACCACAATGAGCGGATCACTAACATTTTGTGCCTCGATTGGTTCCACCACAATGGGCGGGTCAATAACATTTTGTGCCTCGATTGGTTCCACCACAATGGGCGGGTCAATAACATTTTGTGCCTCGATTGGTTCCACCACAAAGGGCGGATCAATAACATTTTGTGCCTCGATGGGCTCGAACACAATGGGCGGATCACTAACATTTTGTGCCTCGAATGGGTTCCACCACAATGGGCGGATCAATAACATTTTGTGCCTCGATGGGCTCCACCACACTGGGCAGATCAGTAGTGTTTTGTGTAATTATGTTTTGTGTCTCAAATATGGGTCTTGCAACAGTTGGTAAATCAATGGTATATAGTGTTAAATGTTTGTTTGTTACAAACGAACCGCACTGAATATAATTAGGTAATGCAAACTGTCCACAGACAAATATCCAACCTGAGGAATTTGGCCATTTCTTAGAGCAATTAAGTACATGTTGTCACCTTCCTCCAACGCATTGTCGATTATTGTTGAGTTGCAATCGAGTAGGTCTGGAATACTTTGTGCTGTTAATATAACCGATAAACTCATAAAAGAGCATTGTTTTCCACGAGAATGCATACTAAAACGTTCGTGTCCCTGATGAATACTTCCGCAAACGTGCAAAGACATGTTTTATTGAAATGGTAAAAATGCCTACTTTTATATATTGATTTAATATACCTACATGGCATGTGCACATTCGATTTCAGTTTCTCTTGTCTAGTAAATGCTTTTGCTACTTTCCACGGATAAAATTTTGTTTCAGATTGTGATATTGAGAAAAGGCTATAGCACAGTCGAAAAGCGAAAAGCACAGATTTGATTTGAAAGCAATTCGCCTAGTAGTTCTTCCACAGTCGCTTATTGAAAAATCCTTTTTTCACGATCTCTAAATTTTCTTTTTTACCCAGTACCAAATAATATCGCTCAAACGGTGACTGTATAAAGGCCTGAGTATGTATGACTTTATTTAATTGTTATAACAAACAGAACGTTACAGTAACAATTATAACATAAACAGAACTTTAGAAAATCTAATAATGTTTTTGGTTAATAGAGGTCCAATGTTTGTATAAACAAACAGAACTTTAACAATTATAACATAAACAGAACTTTAGTATTAAATCTAAAATGTTTTTGGTTAATAGAGGTCCAATTTTTGTATAAACTTCAAAAACTCATTAATAATTCATGAAGCAATTATCCAATCTTGAGTAAGAAATTAGTCACGTGCATACGTCTTTATACCAGCTAAAGAACACTTTAACAAAAAACCATTGTTATGCAAACTCTATAAAGATTTTTATATAAAGATTTTTATATAAAGATTTTTATATAAAGATTTTTATATAAAGATTTTTATATAAAGATTTTTATATAAAGATTTTTATATAAAGATTTTTATATAAAGATTTTTATATAAAGATTTTTATATAAATCGTCTTTTATTAGGTCTAAAGCCACTAGCGCGCGAATAAAACATTCCTGCTCGTTTTTTAAATAGTACAAACAGAATTTTAACAATTATAACATAAACAGAACTTTAGCCTGTTAAATCTAAAATGTTTTTGGTTGATAGAGGTCCAATGTTTGTATAAACAAACAGAACTTTAACAATTATAACATAAACAGAACTTTAGCATTAAATCTAAAATGTTTTTGGTTAATAGAGGTCTAATGTCTGTATTAACATATGTAAGTCCAACATCTGTCACTGTGAAATCACATCTGTGAGCACATCAACAATTTTTCCCTCCCCAAGATTATACATTATCGTAATATTATTACTATCAAGTAGCATATCAGTAACTATTTCATTATTGTCCACAGCCGTTATTTCCCTTTCGTTTACTGCCAATATTTTCATGAGTTGCGAGTGGAAGACAGTGAGGTAAACTTTAATTACTGCAAATACTTCGAAAAACAAAAATATTTTTGATAAAACTAGAAAATACATGCATGCAGAAACCCTCGCCTTCCTGACAAAACCATTGCATTTTCCAAACATGAAGTATCTACAGTAGTTGTCATGGCAACACGATAATTTTTAAAGAATATTCTTAGAAATGAAAAATTGCCTAAAAATATCACTTTAATTTCAAAATTATCAATTTCCGAACATTTATATGTTAGGTATGTTATTGTACGTAATATAAGCTTCACTATAAGGTAAAATTCAACCACAAACGCTTCGCAAAACGTTTTAAAGTGTTCTTCTAAACTGCCTTTAATTAAATGGCTTTATCGATAAACTTTGAGTTTGCAATAACTAAATGATTTCTAATTCTCGCATGCAAATAACTATGCTTTCCTTTTTTAAAAAAAATTCAATGTAATAAAAAAGGGAGTCAATATTAAAGATACACTGAAATTATATGCTGTCTTGTTTAGTTGTTTCATATACGCAAAGGCCGTCGGGTTTTAAAGCAATTAGGGACCTTTAGCTAGCAGGACAGCGACGGCTATTAACACAATGAAATTTATGACAGTGTAGAAAGAAAATGCATAATTAAAGTTCCCATGGGAGTTTTAGACGTCGTCCTTGCTCTGTTTACAACAGCAAAACAAAGATTTTCACATTTTGTATACAACGTCTGCCTTTCAAGCCGCGAGAAGTCGTCCTCGCCAAATTGGCTTAGTAGAAGTCTTCTCAACTATAAACCTCTGTCTTAACCTTCTTAAATTGCAATAAATTCATACAGCGGATAATACAAGACATATTGATCTTAAAGTTACTTATTCGAAAGAGTTTATTTTGGCCGTCGTCGTCGCGTTGCCGTCACCTATTTGGTAAAGGTCCCTATTTTCCACGAGCCGGCGGCGCGAAGCGCCGTGCGAGGGTACTAATTCCGCACGGCTAATTATACCCGGGTATGTGAAAACATAGCGGAGTGCAAAGTTGTCCTCCATTTTGTTTATGTCATGGACGGTTTTCGACGTTATGCGCATGCGCGAGTACAAAATCTGTCGAAGTAAATTGCTGTTCATTTTGAAAGGACGTATTTTGCTGTTTTACAAGCAAATTTTTGTTTTAAATTTCGTTAAAAAGTTTAAGAAAGTACAACACTTTTTTCCCCTCGATTTTAACTGGAAATAAGCCTGCAGTTTCATGAATTAGTGGCTGTTCAACGTGAAACAAAGTTTGTATAATAATTGTTTTGATGTTGATATCTTTGATAATTTAATCATTGTTGTGCCGGTTTGGGTAAGTGTAAACATTTCAGTGGTAAAATGCCATGCCGTATTTGCTTTGTGTTGTCGGTTTTATTCATATCTGCGAAATTTTTAAGCCACTCTTAACTCGATAATTTACTTTAATGCAAGCTGGTATGCATGAAATTGCAGTGAATGTTATCGTTCATTATAAAGCTAGCGCATCAGTTGTGTTTTTGTGTTTGTCTATAATGGTCTTAATATTTTATGTGGGTTTTTATACTTCATCTGTTAAGAAAGGCGAGGGCTTGCTGCATGCATGTATTTTCTAGAAAAATCAATATTTAAAACAAACTTACCTTCGTTAACGTCGGCTCCCTTCTTTTAGCCGATTATTTCGCCCTTTCTTTCTGAGAAAGCTTTTGAAATTTACAAAATGTTGCAAAAATGCGAGCAAAAATGTAAGATATTTGCAAGAAATTTATCAATCATCAAATCAAGATATGTTACGTTTGCTATTTCGCATTTTCGTTGTCGTCATGCAGTCGTTATAATGCAAACTTTAAATCGGACCAATCAGCGTCCACTATTCATGACAGTCCGCCATATTTTTGAGATCAGTGAGGATGACCACCCACCGAAACATCGTTGGTGAGCCACGCACGCGATTGTTGATGAAGTTTAACTAACTTCGCTAATGCTTTCGTTTCCTCGGTTGTAAATAGCCGGGTGGAGGGGGGGGGGGATTAGTACCTTCGCACGTCGCTTCGCGCCGTCGGCTCGGGGACCAGGGGGGGGGGCGTTGAAAATTGTAGCGGGCTCAGAATTGAGCCTGGTCGGCGGTAATTCCATGAGCCGGAGGAACCAGTTGTCATGGAAATGGCGTCAGATGGCGCGAAAATCCGCCATGTTTTTGCGGACACTTCTTTTGTATAGCTCAGTGGGTGACTGCACCAGATGGAATTGCATGGGCCCCATTTTGAATAACAAGTATGAGCTAATTTAACACGTTGATATCTATTTGTCAGGTGAATTATGATATCCAATTGATGACGCTATAAGGTATTTCTAATTCTGATAACTTTTGAATCACGATTAAATGATCGATGAAATCAAACGATTTTCGATAATCCAATATATCTAATAACAGTATATAGAAAGCTGTGAGAGAGACAAAACTAACTCAAAAATATAAACA